ATGCGTCCCCTGCGCTGGCTAGCTGTTTTTCAAACGAAGGCTGGTTCGCTTGCGGTCAGTCTCTGTCAGTAAAAATTGTTGTTGTTGTTGTTGTTGTTGTTGTTGTTGTTGTTGTTGTTGTTGTTGTTGAACATTATTCATTCTAAAGAATAATTATTGTTGGGACCCCTGGTGCACGGCCCCCCTGCGCCGCCTAGGCCGCAGCTACATTTTCATCATTTTCGTGAGGAAACCTCAGGTAATTCGATGTGATCAAGATCCGGTTGTTTTGTTCCCCCCCGCTTTCCCTTGCAAAAAACACTATAAAATGACATTTCTTGTTCTAATATAATCAAATTTCAAGAATCCCTTGCAAAAAATAAGGTAAAGTGGACATTCGCGCGCGCAAGACGAAATCCTTCCAAAAGCTTAGTGTTCGGAACGATTTCAACATAAAAACATCAAAAAACTAATGGTTTTTCAACAAAAAAAAATGTCAAAATCTCATCCCGCGCGCTCTTGCGGATTCGTAGGAAACCCAACACTTTTTAAACATTTCTGTCAAACGGGCTTTTGCAAGCAACTTTTTCGAACTTCTGCGACAACGGTTGCGCACCTGCCAGGGCCATCATCCCTGTCAAATAACACCATGCGGGACACATTCGTTTTTTCTTCGCGCGCGCACGCCGAAATCTCCAAAAACCATTGGGTTCTGTGGGTGTGTACCCCACGCCAGTGTAGTAGCCACGGTCGTCCGCACGCCACGAAGTGAAGTGTCCAAACGTCATAGGGCGGGAAGCTGGGTTTGGGTGGTCGCGAAGAGTCGTTTGGATATTTGGTAGAGCTTGTAATGCCCCCCCACGAAGTGGGGGTATTGTCTGGTGTCGTATGAAAACCCTGGCACTGGGGAGAACACCACGCGTTCGGGTAAAATGATTGTTGTTGTTGTTGTTGTTGTTGTTGTTGTTGTTGTTGTTGAATTGTCACTTCTGAAGAAAAAATATGGTTGATCCTGGTGCATGCTGTTTTTCTCAATCAAGTGCGCCCTTCGACGCTCGCGCCTTGTTTTCTGACAGGGTTAGTCTTGATGCTCACACTGTGCCCCTGGCCCCTGGGTTACAACAGCGGCTCCCGCCGAAGACTTCTTCACAATTAAGCCAGGACCCCCGCTCCCGCCCGAGAATTCCTCGCATTTGATTCAGGAATCGCGCTCTCGCTTTCGGGAAGCTGGGTTTGGGTGGTCGCGAAGAGTCGTTTGGATATTTGGTAGAGCTTGTAATGCCCCCCCACGAAGTGGGGGTATTGTCTGGTGTCGTATGAAAACCCTGGCACTGGGGAGAACACCACGCGTTCGGGTAAAATGATTGTTGTTGTTGTTGTTGTTGTTGTTGTTGTTGTTGTTGTTGAATTGTCACTTCTGAAGAAAAAATATGGTTGATCCTGGTGCATGCTGTTTTTCTCAATCAAGTGCGCCCTTCGACGCTCGCGCCTTGTTTTCTGACAGGGTTAGTCTTGATGCTCACACTGTGCCCCTGGCCCCTGGGTTACAACAGCGGCTCCCGCCGAAGACTTCTTCACAATTAAGCCAGGACCCCCGCTCCCGCCCGAGAATTCCTCGCATTTGATTCAGGAATCGCGCTCTCGCTTTCAACCCCATTTCAATTTATTCAGGAATCGCTTCCCCGGCGCTCTGGAGTCTTGCTTGCAATCTACTGACGAATAGCGCCCTTGCGTTGGAATTCCTTGCAATTTGCTCAAGCGCCGCGCTCCCGACACCCAGGCACCCAGGAGTCGCGCCCGTTGTGGCCCCATGTGCGTGCCCTTCATGGCCCCGTTGTCGCCGTTTGTGGCCCCCTCGTTGTCCTACGTGGCCCCATCGTCTGCCCCCTCACTGTCCTACGTGTCCTGCCCCGTTGCTGCCCTCAGTGGCCCCGTCTTTGCCCTCCGCGGCCCAACATACGTATGCCCTTCGTGGCCCCCGCTCGTTCGCGCCCGTTGTGGCCCCATGTGCATGCCCTTCGTGGCCCCGGTGTCGCCGTTTGTGGCCCCGTCGCGGTCCTACTTGGCCCCGTTGCTACCCTCAGTGGCCCCATCGTTGCCTTCTGTGGCCCCGCATTCTCTGCCCTTCATGGCCCCCGCTCGTTCGCGCCCTTCGTGGCCCCATTCGCATTCCCTTCGTGTCCCCGCTGTCGCCCTTCGTGGCCTACTTCGTGTCCTTCGTGGCCCTGCTGTCGTTCTCTCTCGCTCTCGATTTCGCTCGTCGTCGCCGTCGTCGTTGACGTCGTCGTCGTCGTCGTGGTCGGTCCCCTGTCCGTCCCTCTCGGGGTCGGGTCGACGGTCCGCGGCCGCCCCGCCGATCGGCGCTGCCGGTGGCCAGGCCGACTGTCCGCGGCCGCCCCGCCGCTTGCCGGGGCCCGGCCTGCAGGGAAGAAAGGCATACCCCCCAAAAGGGTTTCGATCGAGGACGAAGAGGGCGGGTATCGAGGGTTTGGGAAATACGCGTTATTGGACACTCGAGCAGATAAGGTCGAACAGTCTTATAATGACTGTTGTTGTTGGTGTTGTTGTTGGTGGTGGTGTTCTTGTAGTTGTTATTGTTGGTGGTGGTGTTGCTGTTGTTGTTGTCGTTGATGATTGTTGTCGTCGTCCCACCCGCGACCCACCCTGCGACCCACCCCGGTCCCACCCTGCGACCCACTCCGCGACCCACCCCGCGATCCACTCCGTGACCCACCTTGCGACCCACCCGGAACCCACCCCGCGACCCACCCGCGACCCACCCGCGATCCACCCGCGACCCACCCCGCGACCCACCCGCGACCCACCCGCGACCCTCCACGATCCATCCGCGACCAAAGCGACCCACCCCGCGACCCACTCTCAAGGGAGGAAGAACCACCCGGACCCGACAATTGACGTTTACTAAACGGCCCTGGGAGTTGGCTAAACAGGCCTGCCCTGTTCGACTCCTTCCTTGCGTGCGTTTACTAAACGGCTTCGCTCGTCGGCGTGATAATTACGGGGTGCATTTTCTGCCCTTTACACCCGCGACCCAACAGCGACCCACCCGCGACCTACTCACATTGGTTTAACGAAAAAATCGGCGCCTGCGGCGGGCTTCTCCAGAGCCTCGCAAATTGCCGACGTCGCCATCGCCCCTTGGCTCTTTTCCGCATCTGCGGGGGGCTACGTATATCCATACCCACCGCCCGCCGGGGCACCAGGACGCCGGTTCCCAAGCGGTGGATCGGGCCGGACGAAAGGGGGGGATTGGGAAAGGGGGGTGTACGAAATCTGCTGCATGCCATTCCTCGATACATGGCCGCCTCCGGCGCTGGGACGCGCCGGGGAAATCAGCTACGTGAGCTGATCGTCAAACTCCCCTTTGCTATCTCCCCCTTTCGCCCGGCCCGAGTGGAGATGGGTAAATCCCCGCTTCGCACCCGAGTCACCCCGCTCGCGCTCCTCCCGCCCCTCGCCCAGCCCATCCCGCACCTCGCCCCACTCCGCCCCGCGCCCGCCCCGCGCCCGGCCCGTCTCGCCCCTCGCCCCACTCCGCCCCTCGCGCCCGCCTCCTCCTCCTCCTCCTCCTCCTCCTCCTCCTCCTCCATTCCTCTCCTCCTCCCCTCCTCCTCTTCTTCCTCCTCCTCCTCCTCCTCCTCCTCCTCCCCCTCCTCGTCCTCCTCCTCCTCCTCCTCCTCCTCCTCCTCCTCATCCCACCCCCCTCGCCGCCTTCCCCCCTGGGGCCCCCTTCTGTGCTCTGCCTGCGCTGCCGCCGAGGGGCCGCCGAGGCCACCGCGTCGCCGCCGCCTCGTCCGATCCCCCCTTCCTCGATCCTCCTGGACTGTCAAGGAGAGGATCGAGGAGGAAGAGGAGGAGGAAGAGGAGGAGGAAGAGGAGGAGGAGGAGGAGGAGGAGGATGGACAACCGGGGATCGAGTCGAGGATCCAAGAGGAGGAGGAGGAGGAGGAGGATGATGAGGAGGAGGAGGAGGAGGAGAGGAGGAGGAGAGAGGAGGCGGAGGAGGAGGGGAGGAGGAGGAGGAGGAGGAGAGGAGGGAGGAGGAGGGGAGGAGGAGGAGGAGGAGGAGGAGGAGGAGGAGGAGGAGGAGGAGGAGGAGCAGGAGCATGAGGAGGAGGAGGAGGAGAAGGAGGAGGAGGAGGAGGAGGAGGCGGAGGAGTAACAGGATCGAGGATAGAGTATCGAATATCAAGGCGCATCAGGAGGAGGAGGAAGAGAAGGAAGAGGAGGAAGAGGAGGAGGATTGAAAAGGATTGATGATGATGATGATGATGATGAGGAGGAGGAGGAGGAGGAGGACGATGGGGAGGAGGAGGATGAGAAGGAGGAGGAGGAGGAGGAGAGCCTACGTTTCGGGAGCTGTGGGAGCTGGGTCGGATGCGTGTGGATCCCACGGGGCCAAATCTCAAGCTCCTCACCCCACACGTCCCTGTTTGGCAGCAGGGTCGGCGGCGGTGTAACCTTTGCTTCCGCCTCCTTGGCAACCGTTAGGGCTGTATGTCATGTGCTGCAAGCGAGATCGAAGAGCCGAATCTGATGGCCTTAACCCCTCGCTCGTCGAGTTTTTGAGGTGCCCCCGTACTCTGCATGCTTTGAATGTTGCATGGGTCGAGAGCAGTAGGCTGCCAGTGGTCTTCTGTGTGTCTTGTGGTGCCTTCTCGATGTGCAAGGCAGGACGCAAACTCCTGGCGCCGTGCTGCAAGAAGCCGAGCTCGGAGAGCAGGAAGCTCAAGAGAGGTATCCTGCCTGCCACGAATGAACGGATCGGCCCACCAGTCCCCTTCGGGCCGTTGGGCCATGAACTTCGGGCGACGAGGGCTGCGTAATTTCTTTTCTAAGGGCTGCTGACGTTGTAGGACACCCGTTTTGGCCAGTCACCCTGTGATCAAGGAGGGGGAGAACGTTGAGGATCGAGAAGGAGGAGGAGGAGGACGAGGAGGGAGAGGAGGAGGAGGAGGAGGAGGAGGAGGAGGAGGAGGAGGACCGCCTTTGGCCGACAGGCGGACGTCCGCTCGCCCTGGCGGGGGCCCTCGACGTCACCCTGGGTGCCACCCCAGCCCCACGTCGACAAGCTGTGGCGCCAGTGGGCGCCGCCGCGCCGCGACGCGCCCCCCCCCCGCTCGCCGCGCCCTTTGCCTTCCGGCCGCCTGGGCTAGCGATCGATATACCATCCTCGGTCCTTCTCCTCCTCCTCCTCCTCCTCCTCCTCCTTCCTCCTCCTCCTCCTAGATCCTCCAGGAGGATCGAGGATGGGAGCCGCGCCCCCGCTCGCAGCGCCCTTGGCCCCTTGGCCGCCCAGGCTACCGGCCGAGTCCCCGGATCGCGGAGAGGGGGGATAGGGGGGTAAGGGGGGGGGGGGAAGCTGGGTATTTGGGGTCTTTTTTTTTTTCTTTTAGTTTTTGTTTTTTTTTTCTTCTCAGAAGCACCCCTGCTTCTCAGAAGGCGCGGGCCTTGCAGATGTAGGGCCGGCGCCTCTGAAGAAGCAGCCTCTTCCCAAGCAGCCTCCCGTCCCTCCCCCCTGCGTACGTACCCCCGTGTGCGCTCCGCCACATTGCCCTACGGCCGCCCGGGCAAGCGGTCGAGGCTCGAGGATCGCGGACGGTTTAGCCCAATCTCGTTACGCCCTCCAACGAGTCCGGGACCCGCTCCCCCGCAGGAGCCCCCCCTCGACCTGTCCTTCACCCCCCACCCCGCTCTGAGGAGGACAATTCTTCAGATCCGCCCCGCTCCTCGCCCGCACCCCATCCCAAGAAAGGAGAGAACCAATCAGGAAAGGACGGGTGGCGGGCGAGCTCATGGACGAGATCGTCTGCGGCAGAGCGGGCTCGGCCGAATCCCAATCCCGAAGGGGTCCGCCGAGGAGCTGCTCGGGGAAAGCAGCTGCTAGAGCAGCTCGCGGTCGAAGAGGCCCAGGGGGGAGCCGGGGGAAGGGAGGAGGGAAGGGGTCAAAGCTTAAGAGACGCGGGTCAATGCAAACGAGGGTCAGCCAGGGCACCGGATCCTGCGGGATCCTGCGAAGACTCCCTCTGGCTGACCCGGCTTAGCGAGCCGCTCGTGCCCGCGAGGCTGCCGCGCATATTGGCTGACCCGAGTCTGCGAAGCCCTGCGTTGCATTTTGTTGTCCCTGCATGCCAGCTTTTGGTTTCCTGCTGACCCGGGTCTGATTCACCCGGGTCAGCAGATCCCCGACGGGGGCGGGCCTGTACCATTAAGTCGGGCGTGTCCCTCTACAGGAGGAATATGGACAAAAATAGTAAAACATTATCCCGGCAAAGCAACCTAACAGCGATGTGTAGAAGCATATCTGAAAGCATTCCCCTTAAGATTCAAATGAGAATCCAGTTGTAGAATTCTGCTGTTCTCGCAGTCGTAGTCGCATTCGCGATGACAGTCGCAGTGGCAACGGCAGTCGCAGTCACAGCCTCAGCCTCAGCTGCTCAAACTCAGCCTCAGCCTGCTCTGCCTCAGCCTCAGCCTGCTTCAGCCTCAGCCTCAGTCTGCCTTCAGCCTCAGCCTCAGCCTCAGCCTGCCTCAGCCCTGCATCAGCTCGCCTCAGCCTCAGCCTGCCTCAGCATCAGCCTGCTCTCAGCCTCAGCCAGCCAGCTTCAGCCTCAGCCTCTTCAGCCTCAGCCTCAGACTCGCCTCGCCTCAGCCTCAGCCTGCCTCAGCCCGCATCAGCCTGCCTCAGCATTCAAAATGTGGCCCAGGAATGGAGTTCTGGGAACTAGAAGAACACGAAGTGGCCTACAGTTGGCTCCGGGCATTCAAAATCATGCCCAGGAATGGAGTTCTGGGAACTTGAAGAGCACGAAGTGGCCTACAGTTGGCTCCGGGCATCCAAAATGTGGCCCGGGAATGGAGTTCTGGGAACTCGAAGAGCACGAAGTGGCCTACAGTTGGCTCCGGGCATTCAAAATGTGGCCCGGGAATGGAGTTCTGGGAAATCGAAGAGCACGAAGTGGCCTACAGTTGGCTCCGGGCATCCAAAATGTGGCCCGGGAATGGAGTTCTGGGAAGTCGAAGAGCACGAAGTGGCCTACAGTTGGCTCCGGGCATTCAGAATGTGGCCCGGGAATGGAGTTCTGGGAGGTCGAAGAGCACGAAGTGTGTGACTGTTTGCGAAAAACGAGTTCGGACACGAGTTCGGACACAGCTCCCCGGATGCCGCCCCGACCCCCCTGTGGAGTCATCTGCTGCTCTCTTTTGAGTCCATTAGAAACCTATCAGCAAAAGCTGTTAGGTAAATAGTCTGGGGACGATTGTTGACTACTTTTGAGCATTTGGGGGGTATTTTTTGAGTATTTTTTTTTTTCGCCCAAAATCCCCCTGTAGGGGGACACGCCCGACTGAACTGTACCATCGCTCCGCTCCTGCCCTCGCTCCCGCCCAGTCCAGGGCCTCTCGTGCCAGCGGGCGCTCCGTGGCCACGGCGGGGCACGCACGCGTCGAGGAGCAGAGGGCGGGCCCAGCCGCGGCCCGGAGGCGAATCAGAGAGGCGGATCAAGTCGGGAGCTTAAGAGACGGGGGTCCGTGGTGGTGGTGGTTGTGGTGGTGAGTGGTGGCGGTGATGGTGGTGGTGTGGTGGTTTGTGGTGTTTGTAGTGGTGGTGGGTTGTAGTGGCGGTGGTGATGGTGGTGGTGGTGGTGGTTGTGGTTGTGGTGTGGTGGTTCGTGGTTGTGGTGGTGGTGGTGGTGGCGGTGGTGGTGTAGCGGGGGGGAGGTTCAAGCCCCCCCCTCCCCTACGGGGGGGCGGGGGGGGGGGGGCGTGAAACCCGCCCTCTCGGATCCCCAGAAGTCCCTACCCTTCAGGGCCAGCTCTTCATCGCGAGTCGTTTTTTCGACAGTTCTTGGGCCCCGCGAGGGTCCCCAGAGGAAGAAAAACTATCGAAGAACAAATAATTACATAAACATGAATTGTCGACGGCCCAGCCCAAGCGGATTTCTTGGATAGGCGCTGGGCCCCCCGGCGGCGCCCCCGGCGCCGCCCGTGGCGCGCTCCGCGCGACAGGGAGGGGGCCCGGCGCAAAGTCAAGAAAATTGCACGGACAGCCGAACGTTCCGCTTTTTCTTCCTGCGGAAAATTGCCCAAAACTCCCCGTCGTGATTTTTCTTCGCAGCGCGGTCATGCCTGGGCCCCTGACGTCCCCAGACTGCCGCCGCCGCCGTCTTCGTCGTCGTAGTCGTCGTCTTCGTCGTCGTCGTCTTCGTCGTCGTCGTCGTCGGCGTCGTCGTCGTCGGCGTCTCCGCCCCGCCGACCGCGGCCCCCGCAGGTGTCGCCCAACGCGGTCGCCGCCGCGGGCCAGCCAGCGCTGGCGGCCGGCGGGCGCGGCCGCTCGCGCTTCGCGCGCCACCTTGCGGCGAGCACGTGGTCGTCCTCCCTGGCGGCGGGCGGCGGGCTCTGCCTGGCGCCGCCCGCCCTGGCGGGCGCCCCTCTTCAGGAGGGGAAAAACACACAGACACAATTCATCGTCGATTCCAGAGATACTATGGGAAAATATTGGAAGTGGGGTGGAGGACAAAAACCCAGAAAATATAGGGGAATCCTGTTATGTGTGTCTATTTGTTTGTGTGTTCCAGGGCCCCTTCATCTCTCTGAGAGCCGCGCGTGGCAGGTTTTTCCACACGTTTCGGGCCCTGGGGATCTCAAAGATCGATGCGGCTTGAGACACGACATGAGCAGATCCGTCGTCGAGCGAGAAGAGGAAGTGAGAAGGAGAAGGCCTTCTCCGAAGGCGGCGGGGCTTCTCAGAATCCCTCGCGCCTTCCGAGAGGCTTCCTGTGCCTTCAGGGAAGACTTAGAAAACTTCTCAGAAGGCCGGAGGACTTCCGAGCCTTCTGAGAAGGCCCACCCCCGCCTGGGCGGGCGCCTCTCTGATCGGGGGCACGTAATGTTCGAATGCGCCAGAACTCGGGTCAGCCGACGCATTTTGACGAGCGCGTCCTTGGTTTGAACGGCCCAGTTTTCGTGTGATGTTTGCAGCGGGGGTTGGCCGACGTCTTTTGGACGAGCGCGTCCTTGGTTTTACGGTCCAGCTTTCGTGGGATGTTTGCAGCGGGAGCTCGCGTGGGGATGTTCAGATTGGGCCTCGTCATTTTCGTCATGGCTCCGTCAGGCCTGCCGGAGTCCCCCGAACCCGAGTCTTACGTCATCCCCGATCTGAGAGCCGCGCGTGGCAGTTCTTCCACACCGGGCGTTTTCGCCAGGTTTCGGGCCCTGGGGCCCTCACAGATCGACGCGGCTCGAATCATGACGCGGGCAGACGGTCGGGTACAGCCAGGACCCCAGGTAAGGGGACCCGGTTATATAGGGACCCAGAGCCCCCAAGTTGGCCAGAATCACTAAACCAGGTCTGCTGTAGCTGGTGTTTTTTCGGGTGACGGCACATCACTGAACCAGGTACCACTACACCCAGTGCCCAGTTCTGCCAACGCCCGAGATGGGTCTGGGGCCCCGGTCGTCTCTTGTCTGCACTGCTGCAACTTTTGGGCAGCGTCGGGTCTCAGGGCTCCGCCCCTCCCAGGGCCTGCTCTCCCCGCGGGCCGGGGGAGGTCGGCCGCGCCGGGGTCGTCCTCGGGTGCAGCGGCAGGCGGGCGAGGAGGCGGGCAGGGAGGCAGGGAGCTGTGGTCGTCCTCCCTGGCGGCGGGCGGTGTGCGCACGCGCCGTGCGAGTTACGGGGACATAGCTCCCCGTGCGACGGGATTTCTTCGGGAATGGTGGTATGGCCACCAGATTCCGTGATGTCCAGCCTCCAGCCAGAGCTTCATCCCAGAGGTCGACGCATAAAAAGGCGGGCGGCGGGCTCTGCCGTGCGCCCGCCCCGCCCGCGTCAGGGGCAACGCAAGCGGCTGGGACGGGGTCTGCGGGGAAGCTGTCGGGAGGTTTTCTTCGGAAGCCTTCGAAGCCCAGGGTGCTCCTCCAGCAGCTGCGCCTCGCCGAGACCCGAACGGTCGCCAGAGAGCTTGGCCATGCCCTCAGACTACGGGGCAATCGCTGGGTGGATGAGGAGGAGGAGGAGGAGGAGGAGGAGGAGGAGGAGGAGGAGGAGGAGGAGGAGGAGGAGGAGAAGGAAGTGGAGGAGGAGGAGAAGAAGACGGAGGAAGGCGGGCATAATCCCACCGAAAGGTGTTTTGTATAGTCTGTTTTGTGGGTAGACTGCAGGTTAAGCGTAGGGAAGCGGGGGCTTTGCCTTAGCCATTTTGGGTCCGTAGTCGTTGGCTCGAGATCGAGCCAGGACTCGGGGGTCCGGGGGGCCGCGGGGCGGCCAAAACCGCAGCGTCCTGCACCGCCAGCTCCGGGAGCGGGTGTGCGGACGTGGCCGGCGCCACCAGCCTCGTGGCGGGCGCGCGGGCCAGCGGTGCCATGGCCGTGGGCTTCCTCGGGGCGCATGCCGTGATCTTGGCGGTTAGTGGGGCGTTCTCGGCCCAAGGGGCGATGGGTTGGTGGCTTCTTGGCCGCGCGGGGGACGCAATGTCCCCAGCGCCGGCGCCGCCATCTCAGCCCGGGCCGAAACTCCGGCCCGCGGGCGGCGGGGGGCATGGCAAGGGGCGAGCTCCGCCCGCCAAGCCTGCGCCTGCGGGAAGGAAGGGGCGAGGGCCGCCGGCCAAACCTCCTGGGGTCCCCACTACCGCAACCACGACGACGACCACGCCGCCGACGACTACGACGACACCCTCGCAGCCTGGCCCGGGCCGCGAGCGCGGGGGCGAACCCGCAGTTAGCCCAGCCGCGGCCTGGCCCGCAGGCCCCATTTCCACTACGACTGGCGTCGGCCGCGCGCGCGGGAGCGGACCTTCGGGTAGCCCAGCCGCGGCCGAGCCAGCGGGCGGGTCGGGTGCCAAGGGCGGTCCCAGTAGGGAAGAGCCACGCACCCCGCCCACGCATCCTGGGAGACCCGGCGAGGCATCAGGCCAGCCGACGGGGTCCCCGGGCACCTACGGGCCCGGCGAGGCAGCGCTGAGCTTCGACCCGCGGCGCTTCAGCTGGCTGGTTGCTGGCTGGTTGGCCTGCTGCGCGTTGGGAGCAGGGTGCCGACATCGCCGCATAGAGGCTGAGCTGGCCGAGAAAGGCACCAACCTGCAGGTTTGGGCGACCGAGGCGCTCGACGCCGGGGAGAAGCTGGCCGAGGCCCGGTCGCGGTGCACTGCTCTGGAGGCCGCGCGGTCTCGCGCCGCCGAGGGAGCCGAAGCGTGGCGCCAGGCGTGTGCGACGGAGGCGACTCGCCGGCAGGAGGCGGCACGGCGACAGAGGATGGCCGAGAGGCTCTAAGGGAGGAGCCAGGCGTGCGAGTACGAGCGGGCGCGCAGATTCCGTGCCGAGGAGGCCTTGGCGAGGAGCCGCGCGGACGTCGACGTGGACAACTCGTGGGCGTGGATCGACGGCCTGTTGGCATGGATCGACCGCCTGACGACCAACCTCGAGCTGGGGGCCACGATCGCTGAGAACCTGCGGGCCCGCGTCGACGAGCTCGAGGCTGCCGCAGAGACGGGGGGCGAGGCAGGAGTAGGTACCGCGGACTTCGTCACGGAGCCACGCGCCGCTGGGGACGTCGAGACCGAGCGGGCGGTCCCGCCGCCCTCGCGCGAGCCCGGCGGGGTCGCTACGACCGAGGGGGCCAGCGGCAGAGGAAGAGGAGTAGGCGGCGGAGGCGAAGGAGCGGCGAGGGAGGAGGCCTTTCCGAGAGCGAGGATGAGGAGGCGGGGGAGGATGAGGAGGACCACTATCCAGGGGGAGCTCATTCCCGAGGAGCCCGAGGAGACCAGCCTCCGGGAGCATCGCGCCCTGGGCGACTCCGCGGCTGCCTCGGGCCTGGCGCCGGGAGCGGGCGACGACGGCGACGACGACGCGGGGGTGCCGGGAGGGTCAGAGGTCAAACTGGTCCGCGCCCACGAGGACGTCCACGGCGCCCGGTTGCCGGCGGGTTGCTGGGGCTCCGTTGGCGCCAACGCCCGCGCCGTCGCCGAGGCCCGCGCCGGCGCCAGCATCGGCGCCCGTGCCCCCGCCGACTCTGACACCAGGGAGTACCGCAGGGGGGGAGCGCGCGTGGGGTCGTGGACAGGCGCGGACGTGGAGCTCGGCGCTGTGCACCTGGACGACGCCGGCGCCGACGACCGCACCGACACCTACGCCTCCGCCGTCGCCCGCGCTGGCCCCATCGCCTGCGCCCGCGCCCACGCCGACGCCGACGCCATTTGCGACGCGCCCGCTGACGCCGGCGGCCACGACTTCGACGCCTCCGCCGGCGCCGGCACTTTCGCCGCCGCCGCCGCGAGCGGCGACGCCGATGCCGGAGCTGGCGCATATCGCAACGCGGCGCCTCCGCCGCCGGCTCCGGACCTTTGGCGCGGCGCCGGCCCCGAGCTGGAAGCGCGACTGCGCCGGCGCGCCCTGCCCCTCGAGGGGGCCGGAGGCGCGCTCACGGGGCACCGCTCTGAGCGGGCAACTGCGGAGGCGGCGGGGCGGGCGCTACCGGAGGCCAAACAGTACTGGTTGACGGTTGCGCCCGAGACCTGGGAGGTCGCGCCGATGGATCGCGAGGTCGCGCCGAGAAGCCCCGGGGGCCCTGGAGCCCCCCCGAGAAGCCCCGGGGGCCCTGGAGCTGGGGCAGCCGCTGCTGGATGAGGCTCGCCACCACCGCGCCGCGGGCGTGAGCGTCGCCGAGGACTCGAGGAGGGCCGCGGGGTCGGACGGGGCCGAGACGGTCGTGGAGGCCGACGAGGTTTGTGACCTGGACTGGGCCAGGCTCGGCGCCGCGGGCCCCGAAGAGGGCCCCGTTCCCAGCATTGACGCCACCACCGTCGTCGACCCCGTCGTCACCGCCTGCGCCATCGTCAGCGCCGACGCCAACGCCGACGCTGACATCGACGCCGATGCACGGGCTGGCACCGGGGCCGCCTCCTGCGACGCTAGCGCCGACGCCCCCAATGTCTCCGCCTACACCGACTACAACGCCAGCGACGACGCCAGCGCGGACGCCTACGCCGAGGCCGCCGCCGAGCCCGACGCCGGCGACCGCGCCCCCGGCTCCGACGCCTATGAGGACGTTGCCGCTTCCGCGGCCGCCAGCGCAGGCGCCAGCGCCCACGCTCCCAACGTCACCGCCGACGCCGGCGTCAACGCCCTCGGTTGCGAGGCCCGCGTGGGCGCCGCCGCCCACCCGGCGGCGAGCGCAGGCGCCAGCATCGACGCTATCGCCCTCGCCCGCTCGGAGGCCGGCGAGGTCTGGGCCGCGCGTTGGTCCAGACCTGGCGCCGGGAGCTCCGACGTGGGACTCGGCACCCGCACCGACGCCAGCGTGGAGGTCGGCTCCAGCATAACGGCCTACGCCAACGTCAGCGCCAGCACCGACGTCCGCGCCAACGCCGACGCCTCCGATGCCGATGCGGGCGTTGCCGCCGCCGCGACCGC